CCCCCCCCCCAAATAGTCAAAATCAACATCCTTGAAATGCGTGGACTTCTAACACAAACTCATCACCTGCATTTTAGCCTTGGAGCTTGCTGACTTTGCCCTTTAGCACATGCGTACTAACTTGCTCACAGAGCACCAGAGGCACCGCAAAGCTGTGGTAACGTTATGTGTCCTCTGCGCTGCTCCTTTATTCTGTTCTGCTGTTGATTTTATTTACTGATTAAACTTTAATTTGCTGTTTTTACTTTTGATCTTTTACTTTTTGCTTTTTTTTATAATGGGGGGGGGGGGTCATAGCAGGAAGAGGGTCAGCTAATGAGACATAAGACTAAAACTAAAAGATGTGCAAACTTAAAGAGTTATTGAAGGGGAAGCTTCTAATTTGATCACGTTCCCGTGCACATTATTGTCTCTACAGACTGCCCCGTGAACGAGAAGAGTCCAAGCAGCGCGACCCCGGCCTCCAAGCGAACGCGCACCGCGTACACGAGCGCGCAACTGGTGGAGCTGGAGAAGGAGTTCCACTTCAGCCGCTACCTCTGCAGGCCGAGGCGCGTGGAGATGGCCGGCCTGCTCAACCTTCACGAGAGGCAGATCAAGATCTGGTTCCAGAACCGGAGGATGAAGCAGAAAAAGGACCAGCGAGGTCAGGGCCTCCTTCCAGCCATCACCACCTCCTCTTGCTCGCCCTCGTCCTCCCCCTCCGCCCCGGGAAGCCCCACTCTGTCGAGCCTGGGTTATGTCCATCTGGGAGGGGATTACCAACCGGCCTCCCCTCCGCTCAGGCCCCAGCTGCAGCAGGAGCAGCAGCCTGCGTACCCGGCAAACTACTCTAAATATCCAGTTTCAGGCTTCACGCATGGCCCGCAGTTTGATGTGCAGTACAGCACCCACACAAGCTCACACACACCAAACCCCAACCTCCGAGGAAACGACCTGAGCGGCTCGTATTTCTCACAGAGCTGCAGTCCTCAGGAAAGAATCATGCAAGCTCCCAAACTGACCCACCTGTAGCGCACGGTGTGGATTTATAAAGAAGCGCAATACTGATATATTTCCATGCATGCGTTATTTATTTATTTATTTGACTAATTAATCAGAATATTAGTCTCAAATGTTGTTGTTTTTTATCTGTATTTATAAATCATTTGCTGTGTGTTTTAAGTGCAAAGTTTCGGTTATTTTTTTTTCGACTTTAACTTTCGTTTAATAATTAAGACCTTAAATTAAAAAGGTTCACTGCTGTAATTTACCCAACATAATAATAATAATAATAATAATAATAATAATAATAATAATTTTTTCCACCAGATTTGATCTCCAAAATAAAAGAGCCAAGCGCAAATTTCTCTCTTTTAATTAGAGCTTAGTTAGCGCCTGAGGTGTATAACCTTACATTAACTCGTATAAGAGGAGAGTGGAGCTTGTAGGCTTTGGAGGATTTTACCCTGTAAGTGTGAACAAGTTTTAAGCAGAAAAAGAAAGACGCCGTGGAGAAAAAAAAGACTGTATATGGTTCTTAAACGTGTCTTTGTTCTTTTATGGGGGAAATGGGCCAAACAAGCTGTCAATCTTTTAAAAGGAGCCATGATGGATCACTGGAGTCACTGCAATGCCTTTCCCCCCTTGCCTGATTCGGTGTCTGTCAGCAGGGTTCACTCAGTCCGAACGTGTTTTAATAATAAGCCAGTTATTTAAGCAGCTACAAAAAGTGTATTTTCAGTATAGAAATTAGCTTCATTCATGTCATTTAGAACAGAGAATTAAACAAAGTGCATGAAAAACAAATGATATCACAATTAAAACAGCTGCAGGCCATAAATTAATAGAAAAGGTTATTTTATATTATTTGTTCAAGAGTAAAATAACTCGAAAAAAGTAACTTTTTTGTTATTATCATTTTTATTATCATTTTTTTCTCATATTCATTTATCATTTTTTCTTCCTGTAACACTGTGGCCTGAAAATGTGTCCTCCTGTTTGCGTTCCTATCAGATGGATGAGCGAGTTTGATTGAAGCATTTGTCATGTAAATGCGAGGCCGTTTGATGGACGAGTCTGCAGACTTGACAGAGTGCTGTAGGTCCCTTGCCATTGGCGTTTGGCGGGTCACATGGTGTGTCAGGAAGGTGATATGAGGGTGGAAGGCAGTTTTACAGCTTTGACATACTACCTAGAAGGTTAGGGCAAAGGGAGCACCGATTAATGACTGCACGGTCTTGATCAGTTCTGAACAAACGGCAGGCCCAGGTTCAGGATGAACTCATACTTAGATTACCCCGTGTGCAACCGGGGAGCAAATATTTTCAGCGCAAAGGCCGGATACCACAACTTAAACCATGGATATACATCCTCCAACTCTTGCGCAACAAGTGATAGTTACGCACCGGACGGACGTGTAATGGTCGCAACTTCGGCGCCCCACCAGACTTCGAGCCTCCCTCTGCACCACCAGAACCACGTAGGCTTGGACATGCCGTTCGCGGGACCGGGCAACTCCGTGTATGGCTCACCTCTGGAGTACGGACATCACCAGTACGGCCTCGCCCCCGAGCAGGACCGGAGCTTTATCCATGCACAAGTCTCACCCCTCGCCACAAACATGGCTCCCTATACCGGGGACAGTTGTGGGCCTGGGGTTGCACCGGGAGGCCAGTATCTGCATTTTGGCAGCGGGGATCAGAGGCAGCAAGAATATTCAGAAAGTGTTTACGCAAGGTTACCGCCTCCATGTAAGGAAAGGGATTTGGAGCATGTAGAGGAAACTTCGAAAACTTTCGACTGGATGAAAGTGAAGAGGAATCCTCCCAAAACAGGTCTGTTATGAGGAAATCAGAGCTAAGAAATGCAGTTTAGAAACCAAACGGGATCTGTTCCCCGTGCGTAAAACCCCCATCCAGCTGATATAATTAGACCAAATTGTTTTAGATTGTCCTCAAATGATTTGGCAGCTAATATTTCACGCATTTCTTCTGTTCACGCTGACATTTTCATCGTCATTAAAGCCCACTCTTTAGCCCCACGACTTTCATTTTCCTCTATCATCCCATTCATCCATTTCTCTCCACAGCAGTCGTGTCGGAGTTCGGTGTTCCCGGCCAGCACAACGTGATCCGCACTAACTTCACCACCAAGCAGCTGACCGAGCTGGAGAAGGAATTCCACTTCAACAAATACCTATCGCGGGCAAGGCGGGTGGAGGTGGCGGCCAGCCTGGAGCTCAATGAGACGCAGGTGAAAATCTGGTTTCAGAACCGGAGGATGAAGCAGAAGAAACGGGAGAAACTGGGCTGTGTTTTAGTCAACACCCCGGCACCAACGGAGAAACTTTCCACCTCTGAAGCCTCCCCAAAGACACAAGAGAAAAACTAAACCGTGACTAAAAATATAACTGGAGGCCCGAGCAGAGTTTTTCACATTTTCCCCAAAATTGCACCATTCCAGAAAAAAAACTGAAAATTGCTTGTGGACTTGTGAACTATACAGGGTAGGCAGTGTCTGCTTGTAGTCATTTAATCTTTCTATTACACACCTCCATGCTGTTTTTTTCTTTGTTTGTTGGCGCACTGATGTACTCAGTGTTACCGTTTGCACTATTTATTTACAGGGTATTTTCCAACAGTTGTTGAAACAATTTAGCTTAATAAAGTCTATAAAATGCAATAAGAGTTGTATTTGTTGCGTGTGTGAGTGTGCAATAAAATAAAAACAAAAAAAGAGTATCTAGATAATTCTGATTCAGTCCAATCAAACTTTAAATTCTGATAGAGAATTTGTTCTGTTTCACTGTGTAAAATAAAGTTATGTGTGGTTTTAAAAACTTATTCCCCCCCCCCTGTATGTTTACCTCTATTATTAGTCCCCTTGCATAATGTGACAAGAGGAATCTTTCACAACACATGGGGTGGTTCTCAGTGACCTTTTCACCTCGAAATACCTCCAGGGGCTCTAAACATGACAACAAACTCCAGGGAGGCAGGTCTCAGGCTCGATTTGTTACCCAAATTCTGCCGGGACACAGGTTGTCACAGGTTGTCACTGAAGTCCATTTGTATCTTATAAAATTTAACAATCTTTCTTTTAAAATGATGAAATCAATTAACCTCTCAGCGCTTACTCTGGTTTCACCTTGAGCCAAAGGCTCGCCGGACCTGACCGCCTACTTTCTTGTGATGTTGAAGGGGCAGCAGTTTCAATATTTGCACTGGGTGTTAGGTTTGCACACAGTTTCTGCCCCAACAGCACTGGCCTGTTGCTGCCCCTTTCCCCAAAGCTGAGGTTCACACAGAGTTCAGGCACAAATGAATGCAGAGTCAATCTGTCAAGACACCAGAGAGGCTCAGAGAAGTGCGCTCTAAGTCTCTCAGATCTTTGCAGGTATTGCTTTTAATATTGAGACTAATAAGGTTGTAGGTCATTTAGGTTGTGCTCCAGATTGTGCAAACTTTAATCTCTCCGAGGCTGCTCAAAAACAAGTTTTAAGGAAATGGAAATCATTTGAAATATATCTGCATGAGTATGCAGTCCTCTGACAACTATATTAAAAATTGATACAGTCCTACGAATAGAAGTTACAGTTGAAATACCATACGGCCCATTACTGTAAATTAGAAAAGGAGCAGAGAGGTTTGGTGACATGCATTTCTTTACAAACCAACAGCCTGCTCTTCAGATGAGTCGCAAGGCCAAGGACTGGGAAGGCGATAATCTATAAGGTGAATAGTGACAGATTCAACAACAAAAAAGGGGGACGGTGTGGAAAACAAGTGTGGGACTTCATTCCAGAGGTGCGATCTCTGCCATCTCTGTAGGTAATACCTCAGCGCTCCCAGCGGGCTCTCCATCTGGAGGTGTCAGAGTCGGTGCTGCAGCCAACACCACGGAGACAGATGTTCAGCTGGGGGAGAGGAGAAAGGAGGAGGAGGAGGATGTTTTTCACCTTCGGATCAGTTCAGCCCTCTTCGCCTTCGCCCGGGGAATGTAGGACAGTGAGAGGAGAGGAGCACAGAATGGTTAATGAACACAAAAGGAACACAAAGAAGAAACTGTTACAGGCGCAAATATAGTCGAAACTATTAATAGCTCCAGCAAAAACAGCCTCCTTTTCTTTCCTCAGATGTCTTTAGCCGGCACGTCCGCCCCCCTCCCTGCACTTTGCTTGAGGTCAACCCAGTGCTGTTTGTACCCCATGCTGCTCGCAGTTGTTGCAGGCTCTTTTACAAGTCTATTGCCAGGCTCACTTCCTTGGTTTTCTACCAGTTCCTCTGTCGCATGTCACTCTGCAGGGTCCCCGGGCTTCAAAGGAAAACTAGATACAGTATTCATGGCATAACCGGGGGTTGGTCATCCAAAAGATACCACAGAGGGAAGATATCAAACACAGCTTTGAGGGATAACACCATTTTATCTTGTACTGTAAGACACAGACATCAAAATAAATGGATGAAAGAAATTTGGTTCTGTTCAGTTTCTTGAAAACTTCTTAGAATATTTATCAAACCTAACAAATTACAGTTCAAACAAGGACTCATTTTCCATCTTTGTCCTGTTTTTTTTTTTTTTTAAATGCTATTGACCTTTATTAAGATCGAGACCATAAATTAATGTCTAACCAAAGAAATGGAAGAACTAAAAATAGGTGTATGGAATCAGAAACTTAAGGGGAAACAGCTCTGTGCACTGAATCTTCTTTTATTTATTATTTGAAATAAATATAAACATCTTCAGTTTTAACATTTCTTAACTTTCTCTGTCAGTCTGGCACTACAATGAATTTGTTCGGCTTTTGTGCTGCTGGCTACACAAAATAAGACATTTGATGTCATCTCTGTGGGATATGTGAAATTAGAAAAAGCATTTTTCTCCATATAAAACGTCTCTTTGGTTTCCCATTGGCTCTGAGAGGGGTCTCTCCTCCTCCTTAGTTTATGAGGACTGTTTGGGGGCAGTTTCTCTCTTAAGCTCATCCATCCTTGAAACTTATTAATTTACCGATTCAAAAAAAAATCTACAGCTTAATAGATTGTTTGCATATGTAAGTTTCACTTCATGATTGTATCAGTTAATGGTGTTGTCACAGTATCTTTAGCATCAATGCAATAAGACAGATTTATAGCATTTTGTATTTTCTGGCAAACAATTAAGAATGAAAGCATTACGGAGGTGGAACTATAACTGTAGAAAGAGCAGATAAAAATAATAATTACACAGTTATTAGCAGTGTTATATGTGCATTATTAACACAGTGTTTCACCCCTTATATGAAGCACGACTCTTGGACGCTGAGGTGAAATGCTTTGATGACATCACTCCGTGTGCAGACATAACTGGGTTTAAATGTAACAGGCATATTTTTATAATTAGCAATGATGAGAAAAACAGACTTTTAAACACTTCTTAAAAAGGTGTTTAAAGAAATTAAAACCAAACTTGCATATGCATTTTTTTTATTGTTATCAAAATTCATTTGAGGTGTTTGATCTGTGAAATTCAGTAGTTTTTTCCCCTTTTTAAAAAATTATGTTGGTGTTTATACCCTCATTGTTGTAGGAGGGAAACAAAACTATGATAAACAATTACATTTGAAAGTCTTATAATCTGAGTAGATATGGGTTGGTACCAGTGTACTGCCGTACCCCTAATTCTTTTTATTTTCATGATTTCTTTCACAGTTTTTGGAGGTTTGTGGAGAGGGGCTGCCTGGGTATGAGTGGCACGCTCTTTGTTTTGGCACTGAGGCTCTTTATAGCCAAGCCTGAGACATTCTTGACAACCATCCCCCATCCGAGTCAGGCTCGATTGGATCTGGAGGCGCTGGCCGACCTGAAGCTCCCGTCTCCCGGGTCCCACTGCGACTGCATCCTTTCCCCACTCCATCAGCATGGTAACTGAGAGAGACAAGTGACTTGGCCAGGGTTAACGTCTTAATACTCCCCGGGATTGCCTCCAGGATCCAAATGGCTACCCCTAATAGTTTTCCTCCTCTGTGTGCCTGTCAGACCGCCATGACTATATGCCGTAAGAAAAACAAGACTAGCTGAGAGGCAGCGTAACGAGGCAGCACGATGAAATAATGAGGGGTGGTGAGGAAGAAGAGAAAGCTTTGGTGTAAAGACGCAGGTACGAAGTGCTGCCTGATACTTTGCATGGAAAGCTTGCACACTTGAAATTAAACCAGCTCTTTTCCTTAAAGCCCAGGAGGGGGGAAACCAGAACTCAATCAGTGTCACGTCACATGGTTCAAAGCGGCCAATTCGATGCTGCCAGGAGGCTGAGAAATGCAAGGTGACAGTTCATTTTACCAGTGACAGTGTGTCGGTCTCGCTTGCTGGTTCCACAGTCAATTCCCAGCGAGCAGTGAAGGTTGAGTGTTGCTGTAGACAGACAGCAGCTTACCACCCTCCCCTCACACCACCACCTTCCTCCTCCTCTTCCTCCTCACCGCCGCTCTCTCATCGACCCTGCTCTGCTTTGTATTCCAATTAACTGGACAGAGGGAGAGGCGGCAGCGTTGCCGGATCACAAGCAAAGGCAGACACATTCTTCTGGCGTCCTTCCAGTCTCTCAATCCCACCACTATCAATAGTGCTGTGCTTCCCTTTTTCCCCCTTCACTTTCCCTCTCCTCTCGGCTTATGACAAGGGCCAGTTGTTCCAGAGGGGTAATTCATGGATTCTTCTTTAACAACTGCCTCTAGGGACAAAGTCCTGGTAATGAAAAATAGGTCCCTCGCTCACACATTCATACATCACATGTAATAGAGGTGTGCAATCACTCAGTCGAGTCAACGCACTGCTAGCTGTAACTGCTGTCCTTAACAGACACCTCAAATAATGCTGAATTAATATTTTGAAACGGCTCATATATCCTAACATAATACAATTTGAATGATTTTCTATTCAATGCTCTCAGGGCTAACATTGATTGGAGCACAAGCTGAGGTAACTCTCCGAGTCAGTCAATGTGAGGCTGACTGAAGGTTGTAGATTTAGCACAGCACATTTGCTCTCTTCTGTCTTTCGTGTCCTCAATCTATCATCACTTTTTTTTTAACTTTGCCCCCCCTGCACTGACATATGTTTGAGCAATGGGTGGGTTGGGAATTCAATGATTCGGAGGAAACCTGAAGAGTAAACTACCGCTTTTTTTATCTCCTTGAGCAACACAAACATTTACAAGAGACCGTCAAGAATCAGGCCAAACACCTTTTTTTTTTTAAATGAATGCATTTAAATTTGCGCACCATCTTGAGATATATTCTATTTTGAAAGGTGAAGGAGTGACTTTAAGCTATTTTTGTGGCCAATTTGGTTGAAGGTGAGTGTCGCTTTCTTTTTAAACTACTTCCTTTTCCTCTTCTAAACTAAAGACAAACAGAGCTCGACAGACAGGTGTGGGTGCCTCTTTATTTGCCCCTCTGGACTGCCTATCTGGAGAATGCAGTGTTGTGTGTTTGCAGGACAGGATACACACACACACACACACACACACACACACACACACACACACACACACACACACACACACACACACACACACACACCCTTCATGCCCTGAGGAGCCTCCTGACTCTCTCTCTTCTGGCTCTATCAGATCAGAGAGACCTGCTGTCCCTCCCCACACCGCAATGCAAATGAAAAGGAATGCGCTGATAAAAGGCCAGATCCCGGAGATGAGAGAGGGCAGAAGGAGGACAGAGGCAGCAAATGCTGAAGGGGGTGAGAGCCTCTTGGGGAGATGAGAGGCAGCAGAGGAGTCAGTGTTGGTAGTAGTGGGAGATCATAGTCTTGCTCCCCCTCGGCGGCGTTTGATACAGGGCTTTTGTCGCTCTTTCAGCGGTGCATTGTTGGGTGGTGTAATCCCCGTCGGATTACAAAGGGCTTCCCTTTTCATATGGGGCTGACCCAGCAGGCAGGTGGCTGGGGCTCTGTGGAGCTGTCAAGGGGAGGGAACCTCTTTTCCAGGGGAGGGGACCCCCAGTTCCTCTTACCTTCACAGGGGCTTTTTGCTGGAAGGCCAGTCAGGCACAGGTCAGCGTGAGGACAATCCTGACATGGGATTCAACTCGCCCTGACCCCACGGGTTCTTGTGGAGAAGTGACAAGGAAGGACTCCATCATGAGACAGAATTCAACATGAAAACATGTGAAAACACGTGAAAGTATTGTTTGGTGATCAAAAAAAAAAGATTTTTAAATAAAAACAGGATCATCGCAGCTGCAACGATTAAGATTAGAGTCAACATGCTGCATTAAGAGTTAAAAAATGCAAGTTTAAGATCTGAAATAATAAAAATCTTGTCTATAGTTTAAAATATGGTATCAGCCATACATCACTTGATTGATACGTCGTGTTTTCTGTCAATGTGAACTGTGTCTGATTGAGCTTTGCTTATTTGATGGCTTTCCTCACACGCTTTCAGTAATAGAGGATCAATAACACAATAGCAACAACCACCAATATTTCTATTTCTAATATAGCTACTACCACAGCCTCCTCTGCTCATTTCAGCTGAGCCCAGTCCAATCCAGGTCATCCTCTGCTGGCAAACGTAACCATTCATCCAGGCCCTGTCAAATAGTGAGGGGCCAATTTAGTGAAGCTGCATTCATTTATTGTCATAAATATACTAATTAGCTTTTCAGCCAAAACCAAAGACCCATGAAAGTGTCATATTTAAGCAGTGAAACTGAGAATTTATGATACCCGCTTTGGCAAGATGTGCTATTTATGCAGAAGGTAATGTTTAACCAGTTAAATTCAGATTCAGTAACAAAGCTATATGTTAACTGCATCCCTGTTGATATTTATATTCTCATCTTAAAAAGAAAAAGAAAAAAGAAAGACAGATTCAGAACACAATATCTACTAGAGGGAAAGCATTAGACATCCCCATTAGGTTATTACTTCCTAAAAAAATCTCTCCTGCTACAAATTAAATTTACCATTTTAAAGATTGAAAGACTGGGCGTACTTGAACTCAGCATTTGCACAAAAACAAAAAGCGGTCAGTAAAATAAAACTTTAAAAAATTATCTTTCTGTGAAAGGTCGAGGAATTGTAGCTCACCTTTATCAGAATATGGTTCTGAAACGCTTTTATAACCACATTGGTAGTTCAGGATGAGGTTCAGGTTCAGTAGCAAAAACGGAAAACATACGCACTTGAAAGCCGCACGCAGGGAGAAGACTTACATAAAGATCGCTATCTAAAATCACATTTAAAATAGCTTCCCACCTTTATTTCCACGTTAACTGGTAAGTATATAACCTTAACAGGAAAAATGATAGAAGATAAACATTGAAGGGCCATTTAGCTGACTTTAAAGAAGCCAAAATTAGCTAACAAACGCCTATCAACGATTGTAGCGAAGTTAGGCTAACTTAACTTAGCCTAGCATGCTAAATTAGGCTAATATAAAACTTGCATGGACAGCTAGACAAATTAAACAGCAGTTACTTTCATTATGAGAATAATAGTGCTAAGTTTTAGTTCGAGTCTTAATCTAAAAGTGAATATAATTGCTGGTCATTTTCTGGCCTGTGACTCCAGCTGTGCAGTATGTGCACTGAAGGCGACATAACAACAACAAGGTTTTCTAAATACTTCCTCCAGTTAATTAAAAAGCCAAGCACTGTCACCAGACTTTATTTAGCTAAATTAAACTTAGCTACTCTGGAGGTATATCATGATACATTTTTCATGTGTGTATTATCAATTTACCTAAATATTTTTTTAAGGTAAATTAATCGGTTTACAGAGCTACGGTCAATGCCAGTAAATCCTATCACGATTAAAGTACACACAAGTTGTACTTTGGGCTGTAAATATCACAATTACAATCCTGTATACCTATAAGCCACAATATAAAATGAAGACTGACACCAGAGTTTTTTAGAAACATGGGTTTTATTTTAATTTACAAGATAACCCAAGTAAGTCAAGTGCACAATTGCATTCTTGAGAGCACAAACAGGTCTGGCAGGAAGTAGCCTTCACTCTTACCTTACAATGTGTGGACAAGACCCAACAACTCTTTCACTGCCTCTGTGAAAGAGGCCAGCAGAGGTTGCAGAGCAGTGTAACACAAGTTATTGAATCATGTTACCTTGATATTTTGAGTTTTCTTAACTGTTGGATCAAACATCTAGGTTACCAATGCTTCCTTTAAGTCAGCTGCCTTAAAATGGAGGAGTTTTGCTGCTGACACTGTGATATATAAGTGATGTAGAAAAAATTTGTGTAGAAAAAAAAAACAAGAATTTTGCCCCAGATTGTGAGACTTGGTGTGGGCGTAAAAATGTGTTAAGTTGCAGTTTCTAGCAGAGTTTAAATGTGTTTTTTCAGCTGAAAAAAATAAGGCAAATTAAAAAGTGCTAGATTTTGATAACCCAGATGCACTAGGAGGGCCTGTAATTAAAAAAAAAATTGTAATATGAAGGTAAAGTTTTACATGGTTTCATTAAATATGCTAGAGCAGGGGTGTCAAACATAAGACTCCAGTCTGGCCCAATGGGGGGCTTTGGAATTTTAACTGTATTTTCATTTGTTTCCACTGATAAAGACCTCACCTGTAGCCATTCATATTACAACAAAGTAATTAAGTAACCAATAAATAAATAAATATGAATTATTAAGAGTTTTACTAGCCTGGCCCTCTTAAGATCAAACTGGGCTGTATGTGGTCCATGATGGTCCTGTGCTAAAGTCTGAAAAATAAATGCTTATTCTGAGAGGGTCAGGTGGGAACCTTTTCCAGATTTGTTGATTTTTATGTGGAATAACTTTGCATTCGTTTCTAGTTTGCTTGTCTAGACGTGGTTGTGCATTTACCACATGCAGTTTTGTAATAACACCGGCAGGCAGCAGCTCATGTACATGACCTACTAAGCCTTATAAGCCAGACAGCGGTGTTTTTTTTTTTTTTGGTCTCATTGTCAGGCAGAGCTTCTTTGCTCTCAGCTGAGAAACCAGAATGCAGAGGAAGTTGTCATTTGTGCACCTGCTCCTCCCCGTTTTGTGCAAATGTTGATGCATGCACGGAAGTTTCATTGCAAAAGGCCACAGGTGGTGAGTTGATCTACAGTGTATGTGTGCCGGGTTCCTTTTTAAGTCTCATTGAGCTGTAACGGTACGTTAAAGACTGGAGCTACGTAGGCTACATTGTGGCGTAAAACCCAAAGCCTAAAGGAGCTGAATAAGTCTGATAAATCATCAAATTGAAGTTTTATTTTTTGGATAGGTGAACCAAAGGGATGGGGACAAATGTGGACGACTTCACGAGGCTTCTGTATGGTAATATCTTTATTTATTTTTTTACATTTAACATATCTTTCTTTCCCCATAGACAAGTTTAACTTTAAAGTCAGTTTAAGTAGGCACTCTTTAGAGTTGAGCTCCCACCTGTTGAGCACACAGTGTTAGAGAACTTTTAACACTGCATCTTAACAATTTTCATAGATCTTCACTGCTGCCGTGACATTTACTACATTTGCATCCACTGCTAAGCCAGCCAACAGGCTTTTGGAAGAACATTTGCATGGGCCAGAACATCTCTGTAGAATATGAGTGGGTGCATCATGAAATTGAATCAGATAAGTGATGTTGACCGACCTGTTCTGGCCTTCATTATCATAAAGATTGGTGTCACATTTCTCTGTAATGTTTCCACCTCATCAAATCAAGTTTGCAGTTTACTTTAGAGGGATATGATAGCCTTACATGTTTGCCCTTTTTTTTTCTTTTAGTAAGTAAGTAGAAGGAAAGCATAAAGTATTGAGGTGCAGGTGACTAGTTGAAGGAAATATCTAAACTCTTGACCCAGACAGAGATGGCATCTCATGGTATTGTTTTGCTGGCTTGGTTTGAGTCACGTCTTTACTTAGAGTATTGCTGTTAAATATGCAACCCGGGGGCCAGAAGCAGCCAGTCAGAGTGTCAACTCTGACCTCGTGGATGGTTTGTTACCTATTGAGGTGAGATCAACATTACCACATTACCTAACAGGAGTGAAAATGTATAGAAACCTAAATGTATTTCTAGATTTGGACAAGTTGTTAAGTGAGTTTCTCAGGCATTACATGACTAATCCAAGTAATCCAAACCATAGCGACATATTAATTACTAACCTTGTGTTACTGATGTATCGTCTCAGACGTTCTTCTGGATGAAATTTTATCCATTTTCGGCGTTTTCTTCCTGCCATGTGATGGCGATTGTTTCTGGCTTTCAGGGACCCACAACTTTAATTGAGAAAAATTTAACACTCATTCTACATCTTAATTCTGCTAATTTGTTTGTGTTATCCTAACATAGCTTTGAGCTAGCCAACAAGTAGTGGATCATATGTCAGCTAACCCAACTTCACAAACATTGCTGATATTTAGTTTTCTATTAGCCAGCTAACTTAGCCAGCTAAACCTTGGAAATCCTTTCCTTCATGGATGTCTGCATTTTAAGCCTATGTGAACACCCCGAGTGATCATTTATATTAAGTTCAATGTTTAAACTCTCAGTGGTTTCTCCCCGTTTGTTTGACTTGGGGAACTGAAGAATTATTTGGACCTGAAAATGGCTAATGACATCAGACTTAACAGGTCAATAGTTTTTTCGTTCCTCAAAAATCTACATGTGGAGTTTCCGCAGCAAAACCAATACAAAGTTTTTCCTGGGTGATGATTTGCATTATGATGGGAGTGGTCTCTACCAGTATCAGAAGTTATTAAAGGCTTGATAAGGTGAGTCATATGCTGTGGTCTTTGCAGTAACGATATCTTAACCATCTCACACCTGTGAGATTTTGGACTGGTGTTACAGTATTTGCACTGTCCTCCATTAAAACACCAGTGGGTGAAAGGCTTTTTGGAAGAGCTATGCTCAGCCCTCCTTTAGAGTTCCTAAAAAGTGGAGATTTAAGGCATACTGAAGCTGTCAGCACGTGGTGGTTTTTCCTTTAATGTGTCAAACATCTTCATGAGCTCAGCACAAAGAGAGGACTGTGAAACATAAAGCAATATTTTATAAAAGAGAAAACTTGATGCGAGATTTGTGAGTGATAAACTAGGAACAAAGATATGAAAGTACCAGATAGAAAGTATTCTTAAAGTTTATTGTCTGGATGCCAGTTTGGAAGCTAGCGTAATTGAGGCTCCCACATTAAACACTTTCAGTTATTGTTTATAATGTCTCTGTTCATCAGATGGTGGTTTATGCTGGTAATTATCATTTTTGTGCTGGTTTATTGTTGTTTAACCGCATGCGAGATGGCTCTTGGCATTTCTTAACACCAGCTGTATTTGTCAAAGTTAGGAAGGTTTAATCTGCCATCATGGCTACAATAAAAGTGTTGAAATTGCAGAGAAATGCTCCCTCGGTTTCATTTTGCGCTGTTATATCACAGTATGCCATGAACTGTTGCGTTCCTTTTTTTTTTTGTTACGCTCCGGGGCCACGTAAAATGCTCCCGAGGGTCGCCTCTGCTGTGCAGGCCGCACTTCGAGAGTCATGGAGGTACGCTAACACAGACTGCAGGGTTTGCTTTGTTTGAGTGCATTGTAGTGCATTATTCTGTGTAAACGCTTCGTGATCGTGACCCTTTAGTCACTCATAACCCTCAGTGCTTAATTTATTTTTTTTATTTTTTATGTTCGTGGTTATTTAACAGGGACAGTGCATGCTAATTAGCACAAGGATAAAAATATAGCATGTAAACATGTCAGATTGAAGCAAAACTGCTAATTTACATCTGTAGTTTCTGTTATATACAACATGCATAACAGAAGACTGAAGAACAATACAGGAAATGCACAATGCCAAGGTTGCTTTAATTTAGCATAAATGGTTTGCTGCCCTCAGACTGCGAGCTGTTTGTGACAGAGATTCTGCATGGTGAGAACCTGAGTGAATCTGCAGAAGAGACACGAGAGGTTCTGCTGAATAACTTCAGGGTCGTCCATTCAAGGTATGATTTTATCCTTTGAAGAAGCTCTAAATCTGAGGCCCAGAAACCTACTTTTAAAAGTAATTTCAAAGACACCGTTATCTAATTTTAGCTGATAATGCCACACAAAACCCTTAATTGTTGCTGTAATTGCTTTAAACACAGTTTGCATGATTACATTTGAAGGAGCTGATTAAGTCTAATGGTGTCACCTTCGAGACCTAATTCTTGCTCTTATTGTTAAAACAGCTTTTAAAGATCTCGTGCAATAATCTTTTCTTGATTGAGACAATTAAATGTGATTTAATTCTTGAGCACGAGCCCAAAAAAGTCAACCTCTTGTATGAAGTACTGGCGACAGCTTACTCCGGAAGTCGGCACTGCCTGCACTGCATGATAAGAGACACAAGCTCTGCTATAGAATCCTTGTGGTTTTGTGGTCTTCTGCTTAAGAAACAATTACTGAATTTCAGAAGTAATGCTGGAGCGAAGCTGTCTGAAAATGAAAGCACAGAAACCTTTGCAAGTCACTGCAAAAATGTAGTTTTTGATTTGTACCTGTTTTGGTTTTGCAGAAACCCTGAGGAGTTTCCTATAAGATGTAAGTAACAATCTCCTAATCTCCATCACATACTGTGTAGTTTTTAAAGATGAGGCCATAAAGTCTGTTGTTAATTATCTCTCTTAGTGACATTTCCTTTATCTCTCTGTTTCACACAATCACTACCACTAGCGGATTTAAGGGAAGATGAAGGCTCTGATGACAACCGCAGTTCCAGCCTGGGTCGCTCGGCCCCTTCAGACGACGCCTCAGTAGTGTCTGACTACCAGGAAGATGGAGTGGCTGACTGTAAGTTAACAGCAGTCCTGATGGCTGGTTCCTCCTTTGTGTGGGCTATTGTAGGTGCACTGCAGAGATTTGTGAGAGATGTGTGTGTTTGTCTGTGCACGGCAAGAACAAAACAAAACAACAACAAAAAACTGTTCACTTTAGTTTATGGGCCACATACAGCCCAAGTTCATCTAAACTAGACCTGACTAGTAAAGTCACTGAATAATAATATATTATTTTTGTTTTCTTCAAGAAACATTAAAAATGCAAAATGTATATATTTTGCATTTCCCTTAATTTTCTAAATAATGGCTGTGCAACAGAAGGTAGGCCAAACAGATACCACCTTACATATCTTAAAAATAGATTTAATTTAATCGCAGTCATTCCACATTTGTTGGGTCTACTCTTTTTATGTGTACATTACAGTTTACAGATCATAGTATAAAGACATAACACCTTCACAGAGGGTGTTTTGTCTATGTTTTAACAACCACCAAAGTATTACATTTCACCCTGAGCATTATGTGACTATTTGTGTTTCTGCTAAAAGGCTATAAGTTGCTTTAAACAAAAGGTAAAGAGGAGTTGTCACCGTGTTGTGCCCTTCTTTGTCATGAGTGCAGGCGTTCCACAGGATTCATTCTTTGACCTCTTCTACTGACCATATTTAGCATAAATATTGACATTATCATATCATCCACCCAAATCTGTGACAGGTATTGGGGGGAAATTTGGACAATTGGGAGTAGTCATAGCAAGCCTGAAATGAGAAGTTTTCTTTGTGTGTCTATGTAATTATTGCATGAATGAATCAGTCAAGTGACTTGGTTACAAAAATATTGCTGAGGCTGCTGCCACTTCTACCTTTCACTTTACAAACGATGTAAAATTGTTTCGTTTGCTCAGACTCGCTTTTTCAGCGTAGCTAATTTATTTCATGTGGCCAATGCAAATGTGCACCTTGAATCATGTCTTTCCTCAAGAAAGCGTCAAAAAAGAAAAGGAAGAAAGGAGAGGGAGCAAACTGAGGAAAGTCTGTTGTTAATGCATTTCTTTCAAAAGAAAAGTGAGCTGCACGACTACCAGGTTAGCAAGGGTTTAGCTAACAGCAGGTGGTAAAGACAGCGAGCCAGTGTTAGACCGAGCACAAGTTAAAACCATGAAACTGATGGCCCTTAATTTCAGAAACGGCCAGAAAAGCAGCAGCAGGTGCGTCTCCAAATGAAAGCTTAGCAGCACTGACATCAGGCAGCATTATCCTTTATTGTATGTTGCACCAATGGTTCTCATGGCGGTGCGCCATGGGGTGAGCAGGGCATTTTTGTACAAGCCTGTTCGTTTCAGGCTGATGAAATATAATTTTAGCACAATGATAATGCCTCTTAATTTGAAAAATTTTACTTGTGTTGCGTTGGGATCATTTATTCAGCCTTTGCAGTTCTAATGAAGCACACCATCAGGCAGCACACCAACATACCTGTGTACACTCTCAGAAACATTTTCATGTATTATTAAATCACCCAGTTTATATCAGCCACCATTAGAGTGCCGTATCTCTAACTTTCGTGTTTGATCATTTAAAAAAACGTTAACAGAAAACAGCTGTTATGTCAGTTCATTGCACATATCATAAATCTAATTTATTCTTATTAATTTTAGCCATTATTAAGCTTGCTCAACCACAAGCTGCTGCAGTTTCAGTGTTACAGTTATATAAACATCAATCGGTTTGGACTATTAATTCAACTTTAACAATTATTAAGATAATTGCATTACTTACAATTATTATGATGTGCCTTGAAGATCTGGTTTGACCTCCGAAAGCAAAACTCATTTAACCATAAAGTAATCGTAGACTAAAGTATGGAGAAATGTGTGGAGATTTCAAACTATGCATGAATGCATCATACGGACAGTTCATTACAGGCTAGCCTAATGACCACTAGACATTGTTGTAAATAGCCGTCAGCTCAATTGTTTATTTAAAAAATATGCACGAGAGATACGGATGGCCCGCAGAGATCACTTATGAATAGTGCCTGGAGTTCTGCGCGCTAAACCCCTGAAATGTAGTGTTTACACAGACGATACCACTTTATGTGTGTAACAGTGCTTTAAGAGCACCTTTATCCTGCCATTGTTATTTTGGTACCCTGAGTGACAAATACAGTATATACAGTATTAAGCAGATGGAAGAGAGCAGCACTTCATGGTGTTTAGTTATAAGGCTCTCATTCTCATGTCTGATGCCTTGTTGCACTTAAACACAGTACTTGTTATGTCGGATCACGTGGACGTTTAGTCACTAGCTGTAGCTCTTTTTCACACTGTACTTGAAAAGATGGTTTAAATGCTTTGCAGCCTACAAACAGACCGAAGCTACGTTCTTACAGCTACAGTGAAATCTTAAAGATGATTTAATAATAACTGTGACAGGAAACAATGCAATTTTAACACACTATCCCCCGGCATTCTCACTGACACACCTACACCTCACCACAGGATGCGTAGGTTTCTCTATTTTGGCGCTCGCCCTTTTTAATTAGAACAGAATAGACCACATGTGTAAAATTTTCCTCCTTGCTGGTGTCCTACCTCTCTGCCAGGCTCCTTTAGCTCCTCCTTCCTCTGCTCTTCCTCCCTTGGTAGTGTGCAGGTAAGGCCATGCTGATGCTGGTGAAAAAAACAGCGTGGGGGGTTGTGGTGGCTGCAAAAGCCTGAATGGTGACCTAGAGCTCCCTCCAGTGGCGGCTCCTGGGCTCCGCTCCCGATCCTTGCATGTGTGTACTATGGGAGGTGTTGAGGCTGCCCACACAGAGTGGAGGCTTTGTAGCTGCAGGCTAATGCAGTGATTGATAGAAGCTGAGCCCCTCTATTCTTCCACAACCGGGTTTGAAATACAACACTGTACCTGAGGGGCCATGAGTGTTCCATCCCTCTCTCCCTGTATCAATCTTTCTTTCTATCTTCCCTTCTCTGATTCGCCTCCCTCCCATTCAGAGTTTTTGTATTTCTGACGCTATGTGCCAGCTAATAGCCCTTGACATGACATGCCGCAGGTGGGCATTATTGCCTCTGCTGCCTCAGGTGCCCATCTCCGCTGCTGTTTTAGCGTCTTTCTTGAGATAAAGCAGGGACGCATGTGGAAATTCCCAGTCGAGAAACAGGAATATTTCCAATCATTTTGGCGATACCGGTATTTAATGCCAGCTGGATGAAGTCGAGCACAAATCCCCCCGTTTATTTATTTGTAAACGGCTTAATGAGCTCTTCTGCTCACAGAAGAGTAACCGTCGCCTTTACTGGGCAACTTTGGAAAAATCGAGAAAACAAATCACGGCAGATGGCGCGAAGATAGCCGACAATAAGACCGCGATAATTCATTTTTTGAAATTGTTCATTTTACAATAAACAAGAGGACATTTGCTTTGTGGGAAACAAACAAAATCAAAGTATGAAATGCTTAAAAAATTTTCCCTTAAGGCTATAATTGTAACACACCAAACTACAAACGGCACCGTCTGTTGCTGCGGAAAGCGATAGTTGTTACAGCTCGAAAACGCAGTCACGCCATTGTCTGTGTTGAATGTGAGAAGGAGCCAATTATCCCGAATCGCCGTAATCAGTTTTTTAATCCCCTGTTTGTATTTTGCTTTGATTTAAAAAACAAACAAACAAAAAACGCACACACATTGTACTGTCAGATCGATAATCATAACATTTGACTTTGTAAGACAAATGTTCACCTTGCAGCGCTCCGTCTTTTATTGCTGGGGGACGGCGACCATGTTAGCATAGTGAATGGCCTGTGTCCTCAGTAAAAGGGCATGCGGAGTTCATAGTTCATTCTCTGTTCACTGCCAGCTGAAAGAAATGGTTCGCACTTCTCTGCCGGGCGGTCTGAAATAATGGCGCTGGCGCTTAATGAAATCAGCCACATTTTAGGAGGAACAGTTAACCATGATATTCGAACTTTCTTTTCATTCAGAGGAACTGAAAATTAATGATAATTTTGTGGGATTCAGAGAGTAGCGATAAGGAGAAGGGAAGGTAGAAAATTGAGTTTTCTCTCTTGAGTTTAATTGTGTCATTCTTTTTTTTTTTTTTTTTTTTTTTTAAATCCTACTGTACACAATGGAGACTTTGTGACTTGGAGGATGTATTATCCGTGGTAATCGACTGCCTGCCTTCGCCTCTCTGTGTTCCCTAACCAGAGAGTGAGTGAGTGTGAAGTCGATGGCTGCTTCTACACGCAGGAGGAGCCTGTGCCGTTTGATTAGATGCGGTGGCCTGTTGTCTTCAGCGGACTGGGTGACACCAGATTTGTAATCGCTGACAGGAACAGATGGAGCCTCCATTGTTAGCCCGGGTTGTCTGCATGGTAATGTGAACTGAGTTTCACCCGCCGACCGCACCGGTGACCTGACCGCGCCTGCAGCCTCACCCCATCTACGTCTGCCCGCTTCAGCACCCTCCACCCTTCTCTCTCTCTCTCGATGCTGTTTGAGGCTCAAACACCATTCCAGCACATTATGCATACATAAACAAATATAGGCACAAAATTTCCCCCTCTGGCGTGCAAAAATCTCTTTAACACACTCACTTAGACCCCAGGAGACGGTGTGTGATGTGGGGCTTTTAGCCCTGTCATGCTGTTTGCAGGTCAAGTTTACGAAGTCGAAATCGCCTGTTTGTTTTTCTTTGATTGGGGAGCACCGCTGGGCGCTCGGGGATGTTTGCTGGGAAGCTGCTGCGATGACAGAGCACTGCAGAAAGAGCTTTGTTTCAGGAGGCGTGCAGGAAAAAGATGGCGCTTTTGATACGTATCCCTCGTCTTCTTTGTGATTGTGATGATTTTAGTTTGATGTGCCGTACAGCCTGCATTATCTCAGGTGTGGCAATAAACATTTTAAATTTTAAGATTATTTAATTTGAAATGTAGGCAGGAAGGGCGGCAGCTTGTTTTCTAAAGAAAAAAAAATAGGAGGGAATTAGCTTTTTTTTGATCAGGCAGC